TTCTCTTGTCTTCTCGCAAAAATTGAATGGTTGTGGCTACAGACTATACCAGGAGCTACGCCATCACAAGAGCACTTCTAACAAGCTGCGCCACAGATGTCGCCGAGTTCCCCCTACACGACGCAATCTTACAACATGGAGCTCCATGCCAGCTGCTTACAGACCGTGGCCGCACCTTTTCATCAAAGGTGATAGCCGATATCCTTCAGCCATGTGAATCGAAGCACAAGCTCACTACGTCGTACCAACAGCAGACAAATAGACTCACGGAGCGTTTGAATCGAACACTTATAGACCCGCTTGCGAAGTATGTTTCTTCCAATCACTCTAACTGGGACCTTGCCATGCCACACGTGACATTTGCATATAATTCTTCTCGCCAAGACACTGCCGCTTACTATCCATTCGTTCTGCTTTTCGGCCAAAAACCTACATTACCCCTACATATAGTCATTCCATCTACCGTGACACCAACCAGCAAATATGCCCTTGACGCCCTTGCTCGGGCTGCCCACGAACGCGAAATCACCCGCACTCGCTTTCTGGCTTCTCAAGAGAACCTGCAGCGTTTGTACGATCAACAGCACCGCGACGTGCACTTTATATCCGGTTCATCGGTTCTGCTGTGGTCCCCGACCCGTCAAGTCGGCTTGTCGGAAGAACTCTTTCCCGCTACACAGGTCCATATCGAGTTGTTGTTCGTGAGGTTACTCTTTCCACATACGAAATCACCCCTGCTGCCTTCTCGCTTCCAACTGCCCCACAGACCACCGATATTGTACATGTGGCACGCTTGAAGCATTACCACTCTCCCGATGACGTTGACATCTAGATGCACCGAGACGGCACTTCTTCCGGCGGGGATTATGCTACATGCATGTTGACATTTTGTGGGACGATGCGCGTGTGTGCCTGACGAAAGGATGAAAAGCGGTTTCCGCTCGGTGTCTGGTCAACCGGTCACGCCACTGCTGCTCGTTTGAAATAAATTTGAGGTACAGGCTCCTCGATACGATGCCTCTTCTCTTCCGTAACAATACAACGTGACAAATCCAACGGTGAATAGGCTGATGAGAAGAAAATAAAAGGAAAGTAGAATGATTTAAGCCTGCTCATAACGGCCACGTTGTAACCACGTGGCACCAGTTTTTAAATGCAGTGATGCTCAAAGAATCACTGAATATTTGGCTAAAAAGAGAAGCACATGTCATAATTTAACTCTATTTCTATAACAAATATTCAACCAAACTGATTCGTATGTGAAAATTTATTGCACTAACTCAGAATAATAAGAACTATGCGTTCATCTGTGTCTTCAGTGTCGATTATTGCGTTCCTATCCTATCATTTTGTTACATATCCTGGTAATGGAACACAGATCTCGCAATCGAGTTTAGTAATGGACAGAACGTTTACGGCCATAACAATCATATTGTCACGGGGTCGTGACGTGGCCAAAGACAGAAAACTTTGTGTTGGGATTTAACTGTTTATTTGGGCAAACCTGTGCCCGGTAAAAGGAAAGTCTAACTACAGCAGCAGTCTTGCACAGATAGCAGTCTCGGACTAATAGCGGCGAACGCAGCGTCGGCCCTCGATCAACAACTGACAAGCGGCGAAGCGCGTCGGCATTTATACCCTTGCCGTCGAATGTTCTAGCGTTATCGCTGGCGGTGGCGTAGGTTCCAGAACAATCTGTACCGTTCGCACAGTGGGCGTGATCTTATCGAAATGATCTACTACAGTCCGGAACCTTCTCGAAACCTGCAGGCGTGGTTTGCGCCGAGAATCGTGTGGTGTTTCGGAACGATAACAAAAACTTGTGAAATGGAACGTGGCATTGCCCCCCTCTGAAAAAAGGCATCGTCCCGATGCTTTAACTAAAGATGAAGGTACAATAATAATTCAAGAAAGTACAATGAATAAATTACAACACAACAATCATACAAAAAAACTGTTTCAGTTTGTTAACGTGCATGAAACGGCTTGAGGCGCGCGACATGGACGACTTCAGGTCGCGATCGGCGTCGTTGAGAGTTCGTGATGCCGTCGGGGACAACCTCGTAATCAAGTGGGCCGAGACGTCAAACCACCTTGTACGGTCCGAAGTACCGTCGCAGAAGCTTTTCACTTGGTCCACGTCGGCGTATCGGCGTCCACACCCAAACACGTTCACCGGGCTGGTATTCCACGAAGTGTCGTCGAAGGTAGCAACGGTGGCTGTCGGTCGTCTGTTGATTCTTGATACGAAGACGCGCAAGTTGTCGGGCTTCTTCGGCACGTTGAAGGTACTCGCTCACATCGAGGTTTTCTTCGTCGGTGACGTTGGGTAACATGGCATCGAGCGTCGTTGCCGGGCTCCTTCCGTAGACCAATTTGTATGGAGATATCTGCGTCGTCTCCTGCACCGCCGTGTTGTATGCGAAGGTCACATACGGAAGAATGGCGTCCCACGTCTTGTGTTCGACATCGACGTACATTGACCGCATGTCGGCGATCGTCTTGTTAAGCCGCTCGGTGAGGCCGTTGGTCTGTGGGTGGTACGTTGTCGTCCGGCGGTGGTTTGTTTGGCTGTATGCCAAGATCGCTTGAGTTAAGTCGGCAGTGAATGCCGTTCCTCTGTCGGTAATAAGGACCTCCGGGGCGCCGTGACGTAGGACGATATTTTCAACGAAAAACTTAGCTACCTCGGATGCACTGCCTTTTGGCAGGGCTTTTGTCTCGGCGTAGCGGGTGAGGTAGTTGGTAGCTACCACGATCCACTTGTTTCCGATAGCCGACGTCGGGAACGGCCCCAGTAGGTCCATACCAATCTGCTGGAAAGGTCGGCAAGGTGGATCAATTGGCTGCAGAAGTCCCACTGGCCTTGTCGGCGGTCTCTTGCGTTGCTGACAGTCCCGGCATGTCCTCACATAACGAGTGACGTCGGTGGTAAGACGTGGCCAGTAGTACCTTTCTTGTATCCTCGCGAGCGTGCGGGAAACACCGAGGTGCCCTGCCGTCGGATCGTCGTGCAGGGCCTGCAGGAGTTCTGGTCGCAGAGCTGAAGGCACCACAAGGAGGTACTTAGCTCGAAGCGGTGAAAAGTTTTTCTTTTGTAGAAGACCGTTTCGTAGAAAGAACGACGCAAGTGCGCGCTTGAATACCTTCGGGACTTCGGTGGTCCTGCCTTCGAGGTATTCTATTAGGGCTTTAAGTTCCGGGTCGGCCCGCTGTCGTTCAGCGAAGTCGTCGGTAGTTATCGTTACCAAGAAGTAGTCGTCATCCGAGTCGTCGGGTAGCGGTTGGTCGACAGCCGCACGAGAGAGACAGTCAGCGTCAGAGTGTTTTTTTGCCGGACTTGTAAATGACAGTAATGTCATATTCTTGAAGTCTCAGGCTCCATCGTGCGAGGCGACCTGAAGGGTCCTTCAAGGTGGCTAGCCAACACAAGGCGTGGTGGTCGCTGACAACTTTGAAGGGCCTGCCGTAGAGGTAGGGGCGAAATTTCGACGTAGCCCAGATGATGGCGAGGCACTCCTTTTCTGTTGTGGAATAATTTGCTTCTGCTTTGGATAGCGATCGGCTGGCGTAACTAATAACCCTTTCAAGTCCGTCAGCCCTCTGCACAAGAATGGCGCCAAGACCTACGCTGCTTGCGTCAGTATGTATTTCTGTCTCGGCGAATTCGTCGAAATGGGCAAGTAATGGAGGCGTCTGGAGGCGATGTTTAAGCTCCTGGAAAGCGTGTTCCTGTGGCGTTTCCATCTTGAACTCCAAGTCGGCCTTGGTAAGGTTAGTGAGAGAATCGGCGATGCGGGCGAAGTTTTTCACGAACCACCTATAATAGGCGCACAGGCCCAGAAATCGGCGCACGGCCTTCTTGTCAGTTGGCGGCGGGAAATCGGCGATGGCGGCTGTTTTCCGTGGATCGGGACGAACTCCAGAGTTGCTGATAACGTGCCCCAGAAACAAGAGCTCCTCATACGCAAATCTGCACTTTTCTGGCCAAATTTTTAATCAATATGGTCTTCCAACATGTACCTACATATTGTGCCGCAGAATTTGTCGAAGTACCCAATTCTAGTTTAGCAGCCTTTAGTTTGTGATGGTTGTTGTAGTCTAGCCTCTTTAATCGTGTAATACTGAAAGCTGCTCTGCCTTTAGTACTAGCATTATAAAAAGTGATAAGAAGATTATTTTCGGCAGTGTGGTACATATAAAGCACTAATGCCAAGAACATATTGCTGAAAAACTTGAATGACACCTCTTGTTGGCCTCTATAGAGCAACGCTATAGAATCTATAATGGTTATAGGCAGAATTCGGATGATTTGATAAAGTTTAGTAATTTTGGGTATTTATTTAATAACGCTGGTTCACATGCTTAGTGTGCGTTGAACACGAACGCACATTGAACGTTCAATGACAGCTAAGAATAGTTTGATGCGTGATAGCCTCGCTTCCTGGCTTATTTCTGTTAGGTGATCCATTTTCAAATGGTGCTTATGCAAGTAATGTATGGCTAAGCCCCTGAAATGCTTATGTGTTTGTGTTTTTGAGAAATCGAAATCACGTCGAAATGATATGCGAGTTGGCATTGGTTTAAATAAATATTCCTGCTGTGCTGTATTTGGGAGCATGGAATATAAAAGAAAAAATGTTATAAAGTACATTGAATATTTTTTGAGTTTTTTTATTGTAAAGCATGCTGTGGAAATATCATCTTGCGCCCACGAAGCCTGCACAAAAGTACAAAGCACCAACACTACAACATTTGAGAAATAGGGAAATGACAATTGAGCTTGATAATTTGTTTACACGCCAGATAATTTCGGCTCGAACGTGATTTTTATGACGTATACGATGCAGCTTGTTCAATGCGCCATTGGTAGCAAGTCTAACAATTAACTTGTCAATTTGCAATTTTGTGATTGCCATCATAACCTATCTTTCACTTTGCTGTCACATGATTTCACTCTCATTGTTTGATAGTTCATGCCACTCTGCTCACAGCATAAGCGCGTTCTCTTGAAAGTGGATACTTAAGTGCTTTTGCCGACCTGTGAGCCATTGCATCAATTTTGCCTGCTTTGAAGCTAAAAGTGAGTGTAACTAAGTGATTCTTATGAGAAAATATTGATATTTTTAGTTTAGTTCTTTTTTCGTGTGTAATCTGGCCTAGGCGATTATATGAAGAGACGATTGGCCTTTGCTGTGGAATGGCGTGACCATTCTCTTTGCTTTTTCTTGCTGGAGTTTATTTCTCACGATATGATCGCACCTTGACGCCTGCCAGTTTCTCTGTTTCGTCCACATTTCAATAGGTAGCGTAAATATATGCATCTTCTTTTCATTGAGGGGGGGGTGAACAGCAAGAGGGAAGGCAGGGAGGTTAACCAGGCACATGCAAGGTTTGCTACCCTACGCTGGGGAATGGGAAGGGGGCATAAAGATGACAGAGGGAGGAAAGAGAAGAGAAAGAGAGAGAAAAAAAACAGGATTATCAGTCAATCGCCTGGCGCGTATGCAGCGGCGGCACTACACAAAAGTTAAAGGTGGTCACGTAGGCCTGTAGTCCTCAGAAAGCACAAGACAGTTTTGATTAAATTCATTGACTAAGCAATTCATCCTAACATATACATTGAGATTCGCATAGATTTTTATACAACCGGAGCATTGAGATAAACTGTAGTCCCGCCAAGCTATGTTGCATTATGTAATGAGCAGAGAGTGGTGGTTTCGGCGTTCCTTAACCGCTGCATCTTAACAAGCGTAGACAGCTTTCCCAAAATGAAAACGCAGTTGCCAGCTCAAGCTATCACACAGTGCTGAAAACTTGGTTTCAGCTCTTGGCATTGCTCTTCAATATACTAGTTATAGTTCTCGAAGTGGCAATAATACTGCCATTATTGTTTCAGTAATCATGATGACGAAAATGCAGGGTGCGAAGTGCGACTACATTAGGTCACATTAATCTAGGGGTACGCAGCACGGTTTTAGTGTATGATGTCGTCAGTAGAACCCTACCACAGATAATCAAATTATGAAGTCTGAGTATTGTTTAATGCCGATTTATTTACATATCTGTGTTACGCCATTGGATTCAATTACTGTTTTTAGGAGTTACCCATTTTAGTGTATCAACGACAGTGTTGCCTGGGTAAGAGGCTCTATTTACATTCTTTGCTTTTGGATTACACATGCATGAGATACTTTATAGGGGTTTCAGAAGCTCAACATGACCAACAAAATAATTCAGCAAACATCAAGGTGAAACCTTTTTGACAACGTTAACACAACCACCAACCTTTTCTGAAGAGGCAATTTGTCCATTTTACCCACCACCTCTCTTTATAATTTTATACACTTAAACCATTCGTGTCACAGATAATGCGGAGTTCGCATTGGATACGGTACGAAATCCCTATTTATGCAAATAATCAAATCAGTGCCCAAAATTCAATCAAATCTGGGCATTCTGCTTTGTAGTCAAGAGCGCAACCACACGACCAAGTAATTTCTGCAAAATGTTTCAGAAAATGCCTCAAAAACACTGTTATCAACCCAGGACTGAAATTAAGAATTGTAACATCACGTGAGAGAAGTGCAAGATGCGACAAGAGCTTACAATATCTGAAGTTCGTAAGCATTGGTGGCTAAAACCTTCTGTGATATTATAACTATATGAACAACAAATTATAACAAGCCACAGGTCCTTATCAGCAATTGAACTGCTTTATGTGTACACGTGTTGCTTACAGACGCATCAAAAGTTTAATTGGTCCGCATGAACTAGTAGTCAAACCCCAGACCTCTAGGTTTGCCGCGATAGAGGCTGCTGTAACCGATGCACTTCTGGCGCACATACGAGAACATAAATAAACGCAGATTAAATCAAACGTTGCACCACGACACACTCCCCAGTGAGCTGTCGAACGCATTTCACTCATCACTGGTCTCATTGATTAGCTATGCCTATCGCTTACTTGCACCGTTGTGATGGTCTAGTGGTTTATGTACTTGGCTACTGACTCACAGGTAGCGGGATCGAATCCCGGCTGCGGCGGCTGCAATTTCAATGAAGGCCGAAACGCTAAAGGCCCGTGTGCTCACACTTGGGGGCACTTGAAGAACCACAGGTGGTCACAATTTCCGGAGCCTTTCACTTTGGCGACTCACGTAGTCATATGTGGGTTTTGGGACGTTAAGCCCTCTATATAATTCAGTCATCTATCACGTATTTGAGCTGCATAGAGTTTTATAATATGGTATGCAATGCTTGCGGGCGTCGCAGGCATCTCCTAACGGGACCCCGCAAGGAGTTAGCGTATGACACATGCACAGTGGGGCAAAATGGAAACGCGAAAATTTGCGCAGGTTATTTCACCACTCTTTAGTAATGGCCGCGAGGGCCTTCACTAGAGAGGCCAGCGCTGTGATCGTTTCGACGTCACGCACAGGATGCGTAGTTGAGGAATACGGCAGCTTTGCCTTCGGGACACCGGCTTGCCCATGGCTGCACCGGTTTTAGTCGTAATTTCACGATGCAAATTATATACGAAAGTGCCACCAGGGGCACCGATTTGTAGTTCGCTTGCCCGTGTTATTAGGCCTTACCGCTTCTTTAAGCACTGAGCTTCATAACAAAAGGAAGCACGCACGGTGTCCCCAGTAAAAGCGCAGGAAATTCAGTGTCCTAGCAGACAAGGTCAACGTGGCATTCCATGAGTGAGGTCATCACGTAGGTGTGCGCCACGGTATGTCCTCGAGGCCAATACGCTTGAACAAATACGTAGGTTATCTCTTACGAAGAGCGCAAACTTTGCCGTTTTTTCCCTCAAACGGCGACGCTTACTGTGGGTACGTATTCAATGCTGGTAATTTAATGCTTGCCTATGACATCATTTTGCAGCTTTCACCATATGTTGCGCTCCGACGTATGACCAATACTTGAACTGCTAAAAAACTACATTCATGATCATCAACGCATGTAGTCCAGAGGAAAATTCACAAGCAAGCATCAACATTGGTACATCCTCGTCAATAATCGTGAATACTTTCATGTATCAATTCTCAGTTATCATATACTTCATTGTCAACACGTTTTACTGTCATACTACACTGATTTCTCCTAACGGTATTATGAACAGCCTTTTTTACAGTGAAAGCTGATATGACATGAGAACACAAGTCACATTCCACACCGCAGTTGGCCACCGCCGCCACCGGTAACCGCTATCGCATAAATTGCATAAAAAATAGCAAACAAAACAGCAAGGACACAGTAAATAATAACAACAAATTTGAAAGGATTCCGGCGTGCCAGCCGAGTATTCTACCGCCGAGCAACACCGGTGCTTTCATCTTAGTCACAATATAGCGTTAGGCAGGCTTGATTCGCGTTAGTTTGAGTAATAAATCGCTTTACAACATCAAAGGAACAACCAGGCGTCACGTAATGCGAGATGCCTTCGAGTGGATTGTGCAATGCTCCAACTCATTAGAAAAGCTTGTTCGTCAACACTTATTAACTGTGGCGCATACCCATCACTCATTACTTATGGCGCATAATTCTTCTTGTCGTGAGCCACAGCATAAAAAAATTGAACGAAATTTCTGGCAAGTGTGCGGCAGATACCACGCTTCTCCGAAGAATCACGAAGGATAGCATAGCGAATGATGGTCTACAACACAAACATTATGACTTTTTATAGGAGTAGTAGGTACCCAGCGAGTATGCTTGTTGCAGTTACCCATAGAGTGCTTAAAAATACACTGAAAGGCCACTCTTTTACACTTCTCTGTGACTGTGTTACGCGTTCCACACAGACATGGCGGTTTTTTTAGTTTCAGTCATTTAGTTTCATTTTTTAGTTTACGTAAGCCACGGTGATATGTACAGAGGAACAGAAAATTAATATTGAATCGAAGTGATGTGTGGGCTAGTTTTACTTTCCGTCACCAACAGCGAATAATAATTCCGTCACCAATATTAATAATAATAATAATAATAATAATATTAGCGGTGAGCGATGCCTTCACCGCTAATATATAGATCGAAAGCGTTACGCCATATTAGGTAGTACTATGAGGGTAAATATATGGCATTCACCAGGTATGAGTAGCCACCTTCAATATGACTCGTGAGGAGCCACGCTCTACTCTAGTACGGACAAGCTATTTTCTTTTTAAAACTCGAATCTTCCCTTCTTCTCCGCAGACTATTGCGTTCTCTACTGTGGAAACGTTTTAAAGGATCTGTCTATCACAGCTCCGATTCGGGACGAAATTGCCGAGTTTTTGCGTTTTTGTACCGTCTGAGTTAACGGTCAAACAGAGGACGATGTTCCTGATAATGTGGGCCTTTATGGTTGCACGTGGTAGTAACGCGGCAAAGGACTGAACATCTGTAAAAGCCCAACGGCAAAGGAAAAAAATGGACCAGCTACATTTTAGTGATGCGACGAAATGAAAAGGTGGAGAGGGTGACCGTCCCCTCATCTTTGCCCTCGCTTACCTCCGCCCACCATTTATCCTCCTTACCACGCACGGCTTCCTCTTTCCTGCTTTAGTATGATTCTTTAACATACACAAACTTGCTATACTTTACCTGATTCCCTACTTCTTTCTCTTCTGCTCAACCTTCACAGCACTACCAACATTCACTTACAATTTCTGGTTCCTTCCTTCGCACGTTAGAACAATTTCATGCCGCCTTTTAAAGTATGTTCAAAAAGACAAGTCAGAATAGTGTAACTGGGTTTCATTGTGTGGATTTCAGTAGTGAATAACTAATGGTCTCTGTAGTCTACTAGGTTTCACGTTAAAATACGATCACATTTAGTCTTATGCACAGCACTTATTCTGGCGAAATCGCCAGGTGTCTGATGGAACCCTAAAATTCAGCATCGGCCTCAATGAGGGCGATGCACGAAACATTTCACTTGACGTCACGTAGTTATGCTATATTGACGTTACAGTCATAATTGCAGTCAGAATAGCGAATGTTTTTGAAGCCATTGTTACGTCTCCCAGGCTTCCCCTATTACGCCATCACGACGTCATACAGCCGTAATGTAAAATTACGCCATCGTCCTATGACATCACCGCATGGTCAAAGGTGTGGAGAACACAGAGGCAGTACATTACGCGGAAAGCTACAGAAAGCTTGAAATGCCTTCAATGCTGGAGGCTCTGAACGATCCACATCACGTGCACACAGATTTCAGTGAGTTGCAGGACAAGATCGGTACATCGACTGAACAAAAGGCAGCTTTCGCATTCGAGTTGTGCTTGAATAACGCATAAGTCACTCTACCCATCTTTCGTATACATTTTTTTGCGAATTTTTTCCCCTATTTAAACAATAACATGTTCACTGCAAGGGCTCTGTGAGACAGAAGCACGATATCATTATGCAGCAATCGCAACGGACGATTTCAGTAAATTTGAGCACCTGCATTTCTTTATTGCATTTGTAAAATAATGTAGAAGAGCATCAAGCGTTTCAGCTTCCTGTAAATGTGACAGGGGCACAAGATACATAGGGCTTTCGTGTCTGCCCTTGAATGGCGTCAACACTATTGTTTTTTGGCAACTTAAATTCGTAAAAAATATTATTCCGCAAAGAACAGTATGTGTTTGAGTCAGTAAATAAATTTTGCATCGCTTGTCTAACTACAAATTGCAACAACAAATCAGAACGAGGTAATAATTTGCTAGCCTAAAATGAAAAGCCTATCTGGCACCTATATGGCACAGCTATATGAAACATCATATGGCACAGCGACACATATTGCGGTGAAAGAGTAAATGTATCGGGAAGGGCTGCATAGTAATATTTGTTATAAAACGAGCACCGGCAGGTGATTTTTCAATGTGACGCTAAAAATGGAAAAAGAAGGCCGCCTTTTCTGACCGATATGTCAACAATATGGCTGTAGTTAGAATGTAGAGAGAAGGGTTATGCTCAATGAATTTTAAGGCACTTGTTAATTTCGCTTGCTTGGCTCATATAAAGAGGCAGCACATTCAAGCATTTGTGAAAATAAAGTATACTAATGCATTACTTCAACAGAAGAAGGAACGATGAAAACGTCGCAAGGTAGTGCATGCAGTTAGTGGTGCTGGTTATGTGCTCTGTGTGCACTGTCGAATTTGCAATACATGAGACAAGAAAAGCGAAGTATCTGTGTAAAGTGGCAGATTTTAACGGAACACCGTTTAAAAATTAAGAGGAAGGTACAGTGTTAGGGTTTTAAGTAAAACAAGTAATTGAACACTTTTTACACTATTTTACATCGGTCATTCAGTGAATCTCCTATATGTTACAGATAGATCTGAACGAAGAGCTTAAGTTTCGCTGTCTTTGTTAATTTCGCAAAACTCAAGCAGTCATCCACCAAAAAAGTGTGAGGAAAAAACACAAGAAGGGTCCATAAAATAAATTAATGCAACAGAGATCCGAAAACAGAGCCCCATGACACTCCGGAATGTACGCCATTGAAGGATGAATAGTGGCCACTAGCAATTACAAACTATAAGCAGCCGAAACTGAACCACCTAATACAACAGAAAAGATTAGGTTTCAGGCTATAATGGTCACTAACCTGGTGTGTGGTGTCCTGATGGGGCCGCGCACTATTGTAGTGTGTTTTGACGGCGACTCATTACACTCTGTGTGGTGTGTTGTGGTATGGTAACCGACTGAATAAGCTGTTCACGAAACAGATTTAATGCGTTCTGTTGGGCACACACAATCTATGATGTATGCTTCGGATGAAGTAGCAGTGTAAAACAAATCTTCTCCAATGCTTTAGAAAGTGCAAGAACGTGCAATGAACTCATAATCAAGAATACGGTGCAGTTTGAATAATTAACACAAGCTGAGTTTCACATATGTATGAAAAAGCCACGAGCAATCATTTCAAAATAATAAATTGTGATAATATTAATATCTACTCAAATAGGTTACTGCATATACTTGTTAGTGAAGTGCGTTTGTAATTAAAAGGTGAACTTTTATGGTCAAACTTATGAAGGTAAGCCATCTTTCCAATTTCTTAGGCAGTTGGAAGGCTATATGCTTCAAGATATTGCTGAATGATTTTGTGATAGTTGCAGGCCCAACTACTGTTTAAAATTTTAGTTCTAACAGAATCATCGCCTCATCTATGTTGTGAATTGTGTGTTTGTCGATAACTAGTACATCATTAAAGATGACAAACCGAAGCAGGAAAAGGGCACAGATCTGGAAAGTGATCACCTGGTGTAGGAAAGAAATCAACTTCATTATTCAATGGGAAAGCATGTACATTTTTAGATGTTCGATCATCTTAATGGTCCTCACGCGCAACATAAGAATTTGTCGCAGTGTTCATGAGGTGACTTTTGCTCCATCTTTAGTGTTCACAGAGAGTTCCGCAATCACCCTCAAGACTAAGAGAGGTACAGCTCACACTAAATTTTCCTCAAAACTAAGAGTGGTGCAGCTCACACTGTCACGCTTTCTTGAAAAGAAATAGAAAAACAATTCTACACTGTATTGACCGCTGTTACCACTCAGTTCCAGAGCATTACACACATTATTCAAAGAGCGTGTTGTTCGTTGCTATAAGCGGCAAGCTTTCTTTTTCCACTATTTTTTTCATATAAATCAACACTAAGGTATGGTTAAAAGGTAATTATACCTTTTATACATTCTTTGCTTTCAATGACTGTTAGTTTAGTACAACATTTTTAAACGTGGAAATTACTCTGAGCTTAAAATGCATGACGGTGGAACAAGAAGTCTCACAATCACGAAAATAGGTCTTGCTGCTTTACTTATTTACAGCTTGCAACGGTCACCCTAAGATTAGACGTACCAAGAAGCCCAGCCTAGCACCTGTCTTGATTTGATAGCAGCTCGTGAATTTATTCAAATACTGCCTTGTTTTTCAGGAAAGAAAGAACATGAAGTTCTTTAGTCAAGTGATTCTCTTGTTGCTGGGCTTATTATTCTTCATCTTGACGTTGGAACCTACCCCTGTACAGGCGATATATTACCACCCAAGTACGTAACTTCTCCTTTTCAAATCAAATATATACATCCTAGAACTAAGCGGGAATGTTCTGCAGAACGTACTCAGTAAAGTGAAATTCATACTATTCCAGATCTCAACAGATAACCTCAGGTCAAAGATATGATGCAGATGCACTATTCATACATTGGCATGCGTACGTTTTTTCATGTTTATATGCACCCTAGAATCTTGAAGTCCACATTAGCGCTGATTTATTCACGGATCACAAAGTGTAATCACGTGGTCATATCATTCGTGCATTTTTTCGTGTTTTTATGCATCTACCGAAGGGAATATTGAAACGATGAATAGCCTATACGCTGGTGCTAATCTTTTGTCGAACAATAGCTTGCATTACGATAGTTGATAGGCTTTTCAGAGCATAAAGGGGTGCAGAGAACGCGCTTTAGAAAAACTCACTGAGAATTCATTCCACATCATTAGCAAATCAATTATGTGGTAGCGTTAGCACTCTGGAAATATAGTGACAAGTTCAAAACCTTGACCGCATCCCAGTAAACAACATTTATGGGAGAGATCAAACAACATGCAATCAAGAGAAACCCCTTATTGATCCACCAAGTGTTTTCATTTTAGTATGAATGCTAACTTCATGCGCCTGAGAAAAAAGTATTAGCTTCTGATGTATAAATAAAATGAACTTTAAGATTGGACAGCAAAATCAACTCCGCATGCTTTGCTACACAGCAGTGCGCAGCGGGGACAAGTAACCCCCTGTATGACATTTGAATCTCAAAGATCTTATGCGCTTTATGAGTTGGAGCTTACAATAATGCTACATTTAAACCTGATTGGTTTATCTCATTTTGCATAAAGCTTAGCGAAACTTTATGAAATAAAATGGCAGCACAAGATGTAACAGAAGTTCGGAAATAATGTACCTGGTTCCTATTCCTTTCCGGTTTTCTGTGTTTCGTTATTTATATTTGCATTCGCATCAACCTCATTTTCTACTATATTAGGTGCAGTAAATTTTAATTTGAAGCCATTTATGCATGAAGGCGTGCTGAAGCCCTCTTCAGATTCTTTACTCAATAGCACGTAGTAGTCAAACAGTCCATGTCTTGGAACTTTCCGCAAAAGTGGCATTCTCCATGAGTGGAATTTTACGACGAACCCGCATCATAGAAATAAAGACGAAAAATCTAACTTAGATCACATTTTTCATAGCTAATAATTTCTCAGATGCTATGAACAAAGTGGCCGGGGGATGTGCTATTCACCGCAGTGGAGTAGTCTGAAACATACCAGTCATTCCCTTCTACCGGGAAACAGCCATCTTTCAAAGGTGGTTATGTATTTTTTTTGACAGTATTAAAACAATTTCCCAGATTGCGCTTATTTGATACGATACTGAGTATTATAGCAAGACGCTTCCCGTATTTGCTGACCATGGCACTGTAAATTTTGCAGGCATCTGTGAATCACGATACGATTGCAAATTGATTATTATGCGTTGATAAAGTGTAAAAAGTGTAACTTGACTTTACACGCACGTTTGTAAAACATATCGTTAAAAATGTAAATTCATACTATAACCTTTGTGCTGCAACAAAATTTACCATTGTTCTTCGTGCAGTCACGTAAGATGTTACGGAGCCGGAAGACACTTTTGTTCTTCTGGCTAGATGGCATCTTTCGCTTCTTCCATCCCGGAAGCTTTAACAACCTTTGTCCGCTAACATGGATCAGTCACTGGGGAACTCAGCTGCTGTTCGGAAGGTTTGATTTTGGTTGATATGTGGGGTTTCACGTCCCAAAACCACCATTTGAATATGACAGACGCCATAGTGGAGGGCTCCGGAAATTCTAACCACGTGGGGCTCTTTAATGTGCACCCAAATCTGAGCACACAGGCCAACAGCATTTCTGCCTCCACCGGAAATGCAGCCGCCGCTGCCGGGATTTGTTCCCGTGACCTGCGAGTCAGCAGCTGAGTGCCTTAGCCACTAGACCACCGCGCGAGGCTGGCCCGATAGTCGACAGTTTGATTGCAGACCGTGTACCATGTGATGTCTGTTCACGCTGAATGACACCATATTTCTGGAGCTCTTCACAATGATGTTTCTCGTAAACATATTGTTGTTTTAGGACTGAAAACCGCGCCTGTTATTATTATAATATTATTATTGTGGTCGTTGCTGTCGTTTTATACAAACTTACGTAGTATTGCACTGATTACAAGATTCGCCCGCTTTCGACCAATTGATGATCTCATTAGATGAAATATACGCTCGGCTTTAACGTCCCAAACCAAATGTAGATACTCAAAAAACGCAGTAGTGGGGAGCCAATAAAATTAGACCACCTGTTTTTTTTTTCAGCGTGCACACAAATCTAAGTACATTGTCATCAAGTGGTTTCGCCTCCATCAATCGGTCTCGCTTCAGTCTCGCCTTCACGACCACGAATCTGACGCGCGACTTTCGGGTCAGCCGCCGAGCTCCAATAACCACTAAACTACTGCGGCGGCCCAATGTGAAGTGCTGGCTGATCTCACTTTATGTGATCACTTGTTTCACAGTACTCTTGGACAAATATTCAAATAAAATGTCCTATATTTATTTTCAGTGCGACAATCTTCTAGAGGCTCTCCCCGATTTCCATGGAAAGAACCAAAAGGAAATAGTACGTATTTGTCTAGAAATAAAACGTACATTATGTGTGAAGAGTTGCCATAAGAAAACTTCATGTTTATTCGGCGCAATCTGTTCGTAGGAGTGAGATATTGCGAATTTTCTGTAAAGCGTGGTGCGTGTTAAAGCCTGCTAGGGCTACCTTAATAACAAGATGGCGTTTAAGCTCGTTTCGCAGAAAATCCGTTGTCGGTGATGGCATCATCAGTTGTGAGTAATAAATATTTGTTGTCGGTCAGTGCAAATTAGAGATACATGAAAATAATGAATTATAATAACTCTTACGTTTGGGTGAGAGTCCATCACGGGCCGTCTGTGGGGCAATAAGGTATTCTACCACATGACTGCGCAATTGTTTGAAGTAGTTCTCTAAGACACACGCTTGAAAAATTTCATGCAAAGGGAGTGCTTTGCAGCAGGCATTTATATTGCGGGGCACAACTTTGTGCCTAATATGGCGTCTCACCAGAATTCAAAACATATGAACTGTAAAACAAGCGGAAGGTCTAAATCTGTCCTTCCAATAAAAACTTTGCAGCTATGCATGTGCGTATGGCGCCTTACGAATATGTAGTGGGCTCTTCATTCATTTCTAAATGAAAAAATGGTGTAGCTTATTCTTCACTATTTTACTTGTTCGGAGCATGCGAGAATAGACATAAATGGCTTGGTTAGGACCATTTCCTTGTGACATGTTACAGCAAAGCTCGCACGTGGTGCGATGTAAAAGTGCTACTGCTAAGATAAAATTGTTGTCATCCCTAAACAAAAAGCATCAAAAGTTTATCCTCTTAACGTCCCTGCTTTTGAGAAAAAAATTTCTCTATTTATCAATTCGAAGTATCATCAAATTTTACTCGTGCCATGTCTTGCGTAGCTCTTCTCTTTGGTGTCTTGAACGCTCACTCAGTATATGCATTACCACCATCTATATCCGAAGAGCATGGTAGGAGTTCGTCTCTCTCTTCCCCCTAAATGTCAACATTCAATGACCGCAAGAGACCTTTCACACTGTTTTCCCGCTAATAATATAGTCATTTTGGTAATGACTTGACCAACGCTTTTATTACACAAAATACCAAGCGATCAACGTGCCACTCTAACCCCTTCCCCTAAACACACACACTCGATGTGGACGCCTGCATATATCCGTACATAATATCTTCTTCAGGGGATTCAAAATGGAGAGAGAGAAAAGTTTATTGTGGGAGAAAAGTGGAGATGTCGTCATGAATCTACTGTCAGGCCTGCTACTCAGCGTTAGGAAAGGAGAGGTGGTGAAAAATGAAAGAAGAAAGAAGGTGTTTTTCATAAAGACGAGTAAGGTGGCGATGAATCAGAGGCTTGGACGTGTAAAATCAACTTATATTCTCTTATTGAGCTCTGCCTTGCGAAATTACGATGATCAAAACATTACTTCTCCCAAAAGAGAAACCAGCCCAGAGGTAAGTTACGCTGCTTAGAGGAGGTCAGCGTACGCTAAAGCAACGACAGGCCTAGAGTCACAACCATAGTCGAGTCGTAAAGAGGCAGGCGTCAATATTTAACAATGTACCTCGCGGATGGTTTCAATCTCTGCCGCAATCAATGTTGTTTGCTCGCAAAGAGAGGAGCATTTGCTGGTTTTAAAACATGATACGTGGAATGTCGCCGTTGAAGCATTAGATAACACAGACCCGCAAAGAAGCGTGCGGACGAGGCTCAGTCTCTCGCAAGAACTTGTTGATTACTTTTAGATAATATGCCCATGACAAGGGGGTAGTCCTAACAGAACCTTTTTCGAAATTCCTTGTATCGTACACATTATAAGAGTGTGGTCATGGAATTTATTTGCATAAGATATCGCTGACAGCCACACAAGATATATTCACGTGTCTCCAGGCTGCCACAGGCCTCCCTTATGGCACTGTCCTACACGGCCAACAATGCGCAGATAATGAAAAGGAAACTGCACACCTGTACGCGACTGGTTTACTTAGCTTGTATTGCACCTTATCAGAGTTGGTGGTATTCAAGCATGCACATGTGGGTTGAGTTCGTTAGGACGGCGCTGACGGTGAATCGGTAAAGATCAATATGTTGCAGCAGATTTTCGGAGGAGTGCATATTCGACAGTGTCAATAACTGGCCGTGAAAATGGCATGAGCACTAATGTAGCTTTATCGAATTGCTCGTTACCATGAAGGCCTCAGTGCCCCAAAATCTGCTGATATCTGATACAATGGCCAGTTTCCGGGGCTACATTGTATATTCGACTAAACCTTGGCTGGATAAAAACAATTCTACTGTTTGACTACTTCTTGAACATGAAAATACTATGCTCCACGTATGAACGCCGAATTTTAGACCTGAAGTGCTGAAAAATAGTCCAGTTGCAAGAAGGTGGCGTCAATTATTAACAAATTAGCTAGTGGATTTCTATCAATGTTGTTTGCTCGGTCACAGAGAAATGTTTTTTGGTCTTTAAGCTTGATATGTGAAGTGCCGCTCTTCATGCATTGGGGAACACAGACCCGTGAAGTAACGTGCAGATGTGACCTAATTTGTACATATATACAAAATTACTGTGTATTTTATGTAGTAAGACCATTAGAATTCCTACTGTCGGTTTCGGACCATTTTGCAGTATGTTAACTTCATACTTGAAGGTAACGATATTCATCATTTGCTTTTCAGTTCATATACCATTCGGTACAAGGAAACCAAAGACACCACGTCCTGGATCTAACGGGGCCGGTACGTATGTCAGTCACTTTTAAATGCGAAGCATTTGTTAGCGAACATCGGTGAGATTGAGCATATCTATCTATCTATCTATCTATCTATCTATCTATCTATCTATCTATCTATCTATCTATCTATCTATCTATCTATCTATCTATCTGTCTATCTATCTATCTATCTAGCCGACTACGACTTTTAGCTCTCGTGGGCGTTTCGATAATGGTATCGATACCAAACTTGGTATGGCATGGCAGTACTGTATGAAAACATATTCGTCTAGTTATAACAAGAAAATCATGACATGCAAGTCATGAATGTCATGATTTACATTAGATGGTCCTGCAGCTCTTGCGGTGGTTTCGTTCACATGGCATGTTGCAAAACTCGTGTGGTATGACATGATTGCATGGCAAACACAAGCGACAAACCTAACAAGGAAATCATGACACGCGTGTCAGGTAACAGCATGATTACATGCCATGCTCATGATGCAATCGCGACCGATTCACTAGCGTCACATATACCAAGTTCGGTATTACGCTACGTGAATGGATGACGAACGACTATGATGCAGGGGCCAACACGAGAAACATGAGATGCGTGTCATGTAACAACATGACTACATGCTGCGCTCATGATGCGCTCGCGGCCGTTTTGCTAGCTTCAAATGTACCAAACTCGGTATTACGCGACGCGAACGGACCACATAGGTTAATGACACATTCAAAACTATAACCATGACATGCGTGTCATGTAACAACATGACTACATGCCACACTCATGATGCGCTCGCGGCCGTTGCGCTAGCTTCACATATGCCACATTTGGTATTACGTGACGCCAAGGGATGACGAAGGTATGTGACTGGTGCAAACATAATAATCATGAGATGCGCGTAAGCTATGATGTTAGTGCAAACATAATAAACATGAGATGCGTGTCATGTTACAACATGACTATATGCTACGCTCATAATGCGCTCGCGGCCATTTTGCTAGCTTCACATGTACCAAACTTGGTATTACGCGACACGCGATGCGAACGGACCGCATAGGTAAATGACACATCCAAGCATGATAATCGTGACATGCGTGTCTTGTAACAACATGAATACATACCGCAGTCATGATTCGCTTGCGGCCGATGCGTTAGGTTCATATATGCTAAATTTGGTATTATGTGACGCTAAGATGACGAAGGTATGTGACGGGTGCAAACATAATAATCATCAGACTTGTGTCGTGTGAGAACATGACTACATGCCTCAATCCAGGTGCCAATAGATTTTGGCATGACGTGGTGCGCATGTTCACCAGCGTTCATTTCATCACGTCACGCCAGCGTTTCCACGCCAGGCGCCGGTCCTGCCATATACTCAAAGTCGCGCTGCGCTGCGTTGCTTTGACGCATGCGCGTTTCAGCGCATCCGGCGTGCCTCCGTCATGAAAAGAGCGAGACACAGCGTAGTCTGGGTAACGCATCGACATAAAGTAATGTTACTATAAGGCATGGGTGCGAAATGCAGCACGTTGCATTTCGCGCTGGTTGCCGTCGGGCCGCGCCGACGGACGCTGCTCGCGGCTGGCGTCAGACTGTGCTCGCGTTTCGTCACGTAGCGCCGCTGTGCCCAGCGTGGGCGCGCGTCAACGCTACATAGCAGTATATTGGGCGCTTCACGATGCGCTCGCGGCCATTTTGCTAGCTCCACATATAGCGAGTTTGGTCTTACGTGACATCAATGAATGACGAAATATATGACTGGGGCCAAGATCATCCTTCACATGTGTTACGTAAGAACATGACAACATACCACGCTCATAGCGTTCTAGTGGTCGTTTCGCTATCTCCACATATGCTAAATTTGGTATCACATGACGTGAATAGATTGCGAAGGTAAACGGCACATCCAAACATAATATTCGTAACAAAGAAGCTATTTATGGCATCATTTACCTCCACCTCGTAACATTGACATCGTTGCGTTCAGAGGTAAACGCTGCTGATGTCAGGTTTTTCATAACGCTGATTTGTTAAATGTGCCAGTGTGTGTTTACTAAATCGTGGGTAGACACGAAGTCTCAGTTCCCTGTGGCACATACCCGCATTTCAGTGGCACATACTCGCCCAAGGGTATGTGGCACTACCTGGCATGAAGTGTTTAACGACGTAGGCGACGAGATTCTGACATTGTTCAGGTCTCGACCAGCGCGTTATTATCGTGAAACTACCTTACCCTCCCATACTAATTTTGTTTAACATCAAGGTAAAGATGTAATTGCGAGAGCACACACACCTGACGTGGTTATTTAGATAGATAGATAGATAGATAGATAGATAGATAGATAGATAGATAGATAGATAAAACTGATTGCGTTACGCAAAATATGCTTCACATTTACAATAGTATACCAGTTGTGGAACTTTAGGTTGTCACGTTTCTGCCGAATATTTTAGATGCTGACTGACTGAGACGGCCGGTTGAAGTAAAAAAAATATACACGCCGTATCTGCATGTTTCACTTCAAATGTCGCCGAAAGACCACATTTGAAGTGAATGGGGAGAGAATAAAAAAAGTTTATTTGATGTACTGCGCGAGAAAATTAGTGAATTGTATTCTGAAAGCGCTGCGTTAAAAAGTCTGCATCCGTGCAGCACAGGCTCACGAGCGCATCGAAGCACGTAAGACACGAGCTCAATCTGGCAGTTATATTTGAAAACAAAGGAAGAGATGCGCGCCCACGGAGAAAGATGCGTGCCTGTTTCGAAGGCGATAAGGTGTAGAATGCAAAGCAACGGGCAGTTGCCGCCACCGTGGCGTCTTAGCAAAGCGTTGGAAACACATGCCTTTTTAAGCATCGCGTTGCACTTTCAGCGCAGCGTGAGAAACTCTATGGTACTTAGAATTACTTGTGTGTGCCTTCTCTAGTATAGAGACACACATACAAAACTTTGACGTACTGTTATGGCGCCTCAGATATGTGCAATAATTGCTTTTTATTATACAATAGCACAAGTATCAACCTGAAACTTGAGCAATACTGGTGGAGGGTGCTGATGTGGTTGGCCGTTTGTGGTGTCGCTTGGTACCGTTTAGGGTATCGCTATGGCGGACAGCCCAGCCCAGCCCAGCCCAGCCCAGCCAGGCCCAGCCTCTATGGTTCTCTACGGTTCTTAGAATTACTTGCCACACATACAACGCTGCACTCGCACGCTGCACTGTCAGCGCATCGTGAGAAACTCTATGGTTCTTAGAATTACTTGTTTGTGCCTTCTCTAGTATGAAGACACACATACAAAACATGAACGTACTGTTATGGCACCTCAGATATGCGCAATGATTGCTTTTTAATATACAATAGCACAAGTATCAACCTGAAACTTGAGCAATACTGGTGGAGGCTGCTGATGTGGTTGGCCGTTTGTGGTGTCGCTTGGTACCATTTGGGGTATCGCTATGGTAGACAACCCATCCCAGCCCAGCCCAGCCCACGGTGAAAGATGCGTGCCTGTCTCGGAAGCGATAAGGTGTAGAATGCAAAGCAACGGTCAGTTGCCACCACCGTGGCGTCTTAGCAAAGCGTTGGAAACACATGCCTTTTGGAGCATCGCGTTGCACTGTCAGCGCAGCGTGAGAAACTCTATGGTTCTTAGAATTACTTGTGTGTGCCTTCTCTAGTAGGAAGACACACGTACAAAACATTGACGTACCGTTATGGCGCCTCAGATATGCGCAATAATTGCTTTTTAATATACAATAGCACATGTATCAACCTGAAACTTGAGCAATACTGGTGGAGGCTGCTGATGTGGTTGGCCGTTTGTGGTGTCACTTGGTACCGTTTGGGGTATCGCTACGGCGGACAGCCCAGCTCAACCCAGCCTGTTGCCCAGCCCAGCCCAGCCTCTATGGTTCTCTATGGTTCTTAGAATTACTTGTGTGTGCCTTCTCTATTATGAAGACACACATACAAAACATTGACGTACTGTTATGGCGCCTCAAATATGCGCAATAATTGCTTTTTAATACACAATAGCACAAGTATCAACCTGAAACTTGAGCAATACTGGTGGAGGGTGCTGATGTGGTTGGCCGTTTGTGGTGGCGCTTGGTACCGTTTGGGGTATCGCTACGGCGGACAGCCCAGCCCAGCCCAGCGCAGCCTGTTGCCCAGCCCAGCCCAGCCAAGCCCAGCCCAGCCAAGCCCAGCCCTGCGGGCAGGCGGGCGGGCGGGCGGGCAGGCAGGCAGGCCGGCCAACCAAACTTTTTGCCTCGAAGTACCCAATGAGACTTAGTTCTCTGCCGGCCTGCCGGCCGGGCGGCCGGGCGGGCAGGTGGGCGGGCAGGCAGGCAGGCCAAACAAAATTTTTGCTTCGAAGTACCCAATGAGATTTAGTAGTTGGACCGTCCAAAATTGGTAGTTAGATCGTCCATCGTCGTGACGAATTTCTGTAGCACTTGTTCTTGTGTTGTAAGGGTGCGAGCCAATCGCCGACATTCTTCTGCATACCCCGCGGCTTCGGAAACTGGTGTGCCTTCGGATAAGTCGGGTCGGTATGGGAGAATGGTGTCGATTGGAGATGATGGTTCTCGACTATAAAGTAAAAAGAAGGGAGAAAAGCCTGTCGTCGCTTGAGGTGCCGTGTTGTAAGCGTACGTTACGTAGGGAAGGACAGGATCCCAGTTGGTGTGGTCGGAGGCGACATACATAGAAAGCATGTTGCCAAGAGTATGGTTGAAATGCTCGGTCAAGCCATTTGTTTGTGGGCGATATGCGGTAGTACAGCGGTGAATCACACGGCATTCTGCAAGAAGTTCTTGAATAACATCCGCGAGAAAAACGCGGCCTCGGTCACTCAAAATTTCACGTCGAGTGCCGTGGCGCAGAACAAAACGTTGCAGCAGGAAAGACGCAACGTCACGTGCCGTCGCGACTGGTAAAGCGGCCGTTTGTGCATATCTCGTGAGATGGTCGACGCTACAATAATCCAGCGATTCCCAGCTGATG